AAAAACTAGGCATTTTGTTGTCTGTTGTTGTTTACAGGCCTCCTGAGGAGATCTCAGGTGGTTTAGTTCCAGTGGCCCAAGAGGAAGGAAGAAGGCATCATGGCACTCTATGTCTCAGAGTTCATTTAAAAGCTAAGTGTTTGTTTGACTCTTGTTTAAAGGCATTCTGGGCTGGGGTGAGAAGTTGGTTCCAGTGGCTGAAGAGGAAGCACAAAGTCATCTTAGCTCAAGGTGAGACTTGTCTCTTAGAGTGCCCTAGAAAACTAAGCATGTTGTTGTCTTTCGTTGTTTACAGGGCTCCTGAAGAGAGCTCCAGTGGTTTAGTTCCAGTGGCCCAAGAGGAAGCAAGAAGGCATCATAGCACTCTATGTCTCAGAGATCACTCAAAAGCTAAGTGTTTGTTTGACTCTTGTTGTTTAAAGGCATTCTAGGCTGGGGTGAGAAGTTGGTTCTAGTGGCTGAAGGAGAGGCAGAGCCATCTTAGACCAAACTTGAGAAAGCTAATTGTTTGTTTCCCTCCTGTTTATTACAGGCTTTCTGCAGGCAGAGCAGTGGTTGGGTTCCAGTGGCTGAAGAGGAAGCAAGAAGTCATCTTAGCTCAAGGTGAGACTTGTCTCTTAGAGTGCCCTAGAAAACTAAGCATTTTGTTGTCTGTTGTTGTTTACAGGCCTCCTGGAGAGCTCYAGTGGTTTAGTTCCAGTGGCCCAAGAGGAAGCAAGAAGGCATCATAGCACTCTATGTCTCAGAGTTCATTTAAAAGCTAAGTGTTTGTTTGACTCTTGTTTAAAGGCATTCTGGGCTGGGGTGAGAAGTTGGTTCCAGTGGCTGAWGAGGAAGGAAGAAGTCATCTTAGCTCAAGGTGAGAAAGCTAATTGTTTCCCTCCTGTTTATTACAGGCTTTCTGCAGGCAGAGCAGTGGTTGGGTTCCAGTGGCTGAAGAGGAAGSAAGAAGTCATCTWAGCTCAARGTGAGACTTGTCTCTTAGAGTGCCCTARRAAACTAAGCATKTTGTTGTYTKTYGTTGTTTACAGGSCTCCTGRRGAGAGCTCCAGTGRTTTAGTTCCAKTGGCCCAAGAGGAAGCAAGAAGGCATCATARCACTCTATGTCTCAGAGWTCACTCAAAAGCTAAGTGTTTGTTTGACTCTTGWTGTTTAAAGGCATTCTAGGCTGGGGTGAGAAGTTGGTTCTAGTGGCTGAAGGAGAGGCAGAGCCATCTTAGATCGACGTGAAGAAGCTAATTGTTTGTGTCCCTCCTGTTTATTACAGGCTTCCGGGGGCAGAGCAGAGATTGGGTTCCATTGGCTGAAGAGGAAGCAAGTAGTCATCTTAGCTCAAGGTGAGACTTGTCTCTTAGAGTGCCCTAGAAAACTAAGCATTTTGTTGTCTGTTGTTGTTTACAGGCCTCCTGAGGAGATCTCAGGTGGTTTAGTTCCAGTGGCCCAAGAGGAAGGAAGAAGGCATCAGAGCACTCTATGTCTCAGAGATCACTCAAAAGCTAAGTGTTTGTTTGACTCTTGTTTAAAGGCATTCTGGGCTGGGGTGAGAAGTTGGTTCCAGTGGCTGAAGAGGAAGGAAGAAGTCATCTTAGCTCAAGGTGAGAAAGCTAATTGTTTCCCTCCTGTTTATTACAGGCTTTCTGCAGGCAGAGCAGTGGTTGGGTTCCAGTGGCTGAAGAGGAAGCAAGAAGTCATCTAAGCTCAAGGTGAGACTTGTCTCTTAGAGTGCCCTAAAAAACTAAGCATTTTGTTGTCTGTTGTTGTTTACAGGCCTCCTGAGGAGAGCTCCAGTGGTTTAGTTCCAGTGGCCCAAGAGGAAGCAAGAAGGCATCATAGCACTCTATGTCTCAGAGTTCACTCAAAAGCTAAGTGTTTGTTTGACTATTGTTGTTTAAAGGCATTCTGGGCTGGGGTGAGAAGTTGGTTCTAGTGGCTGAAGGAGAGGCAGAGCTATCTTAGCTCGATGTGAGAAAGCTAATTTTTCTTCGTGTATTCAGTGAAATGCGCACTTATGGGTTTTCACCTGCGCCTGCGCAGCAATCTGAACATTCTAAGATTTAATGAATTTTTTAAATGATTATTTTAAATGATTATTCCGTGGACACGGAAGCCCCGCCCATGTCCCCGCCCCCTTGGCGTATATGCCGCGGTGTGCGGCTTCTGGCCAGTTCCTTTTTCCGCGCCAAACAGGCAGCATCTCTCGGACTTCGCTCTTTGAGTACAGATTCTCTGACCATTGGACTGTTTTTCTTCGATTACCTACCTTCTCCTCTCCTGGACACGGACCGGCTCGACTACTCTCTCTCTCTAACAGGCTAGATGTCTTCCCTTTACTTTAAAAACTGCTCGGCCTGCGGGGCTACCCTACAACACCTCCTTTTATAGGGGCAGACAAAGACCTTACGCCCCAGCTACAGCCGCAAGACATCCGTCTCTTCCTTCCAGAGGTCAGTACCGTGGTACCAGACCTCCCAATAACAATAAACATCGTTGTTGACACACCTTCACTCGACACCACCCCCCCCCTTCCACTTACATACCTGAACAGACTTCATCACTTTCTTCCACAATGGCAATCCATAACTACAGACACCTGGGTCCTCGATATAGTGGACAGGGGATATGCAATAGAGTTTGATACATACCCGCCAGTTGGCACTGTCCTTCTCACTCAACCCTCCCAAGCAATTTGGGAGGAAATAAAGTCCCTCCTGTCTAAAGGAGCTATCTCTGCCACTCCTTCACATGCATCCAACACCTGCTTCTATTCTCGATACTTCCTGGTAGACAAGAGAGATGGTGGCCTCCGCCCCATCCTCGATCTCCGTAGACTCAACACCTTCATCACACCACGCAAGTTCCGTATGGTCACCCTACCTAACATCCTCCCTTTCATTCCTGAAAACTTGTGGTTAGCAACAGTGGACCTACGAGACGCATATTTCCATATCTCAATTAGACCATCACACCGCAGTTTTCTCACCTTCGCGGTTCAAGACACACATTTCTCCTTCAATTCACTCCCGTTCGGTTTGTCCACGGCACCCAGAGTATTTACGAAGTGCATGGCCATCATAGCCGCACATCTCCGTCAACAAGGCGTCACGGTTTTTCCGTACCTTGATGACTGGATGCTTTGCTCTTCTTCAAGGTCCAAATTGTGCAAAGATATTCACTACACCTTATCTCTTTTGCAGGTCCTTGGGCTGGTTATAAACCAGGACAAATCCTATCTTCAACCGACGCAACGCATCCAATTTATCGGAGCTATCTTGGACACCACGCTCCAAAGGGCGTTCCTCCCGGAAGACCGGTTCCTCAACCTCCAACAAACTATTATTACCTTACAACATTCCCAACAGGCCTCGGCTTGGGATATCCAGTCCATCCTTGGACACATGTCCTCTACCACAAATGTGACCCCATTTGCCCGCCTCCGGATGCGGCCCCTTCAAAACTGGTTCATCAGAACCTTCGACCCTCTCCGCGACTCACAGTCCCGGATTCTTTATCCACCTCACTCCGTTCTCCACTCCCTCACATGGTGGACAAAGGCACACAATGTTCGCTTGGGGATGCCATTCAATCAACCTCGTCCCTCCGCATCCGCATGGGGTGAGAAGTTGGTTCTAGTGGCTGAAGGAGAGGCAGAGCCATTTTAGCTCGACGTGAGGAAGCTAATTGTTTGTTTTCCTCCAGTTTATTACAGGCTTTCTGGGGCAGAGCAGAGATTGGGTTCCAGTGGCTGAAGAGGAAGCAAGAAGTCATCTTAGTTCAAGGTGAGACTTGTCTCTTAGAGTGCCCTAGAAAACTAAGCATTTTGTTGTCTGTTGTTGTTTACAGGCCTCCTGGGGAGAGCTCCAGTGGTTTAGTTCCATTGGCCCAAGAGGAAGCAAGAAGGCATCATAGCACTCTATGTCACAGAGTTCACTCAAAAGCTAAGTGTCTGTTTGACTCTTGTTGTTTCTGGGGTGTGGTGAGCAGTTGGTTCTAGTGGCTGAAGGAGAGGCAGAACCATCTTAGATCGACGTTAGAAAGCTAAGTGTTTGTTTCCCTCCTGTTTATTACAGACTTTCTTTGGGCAGAGCCAGTGGTTGGGTTCCAGTGGCTGTAGAGGAAGCAAGTAGTCATCTTAGCTCATCTGTTAGAAAGCTATGTGCTTGCCTGTTTTTGTTTAAAGGCTTTCTGGATGCAGAGCTAACAGTCGAGTCGTAGTAGTGGAAGAAGAAGCAGGAAAGCATCTTACCTTGAGGTAAGCCTTGTCTCTTGGAATGCCCTCTATGATTCTATTAATCCAGTTTAAAGCAGATAATCTGTATTTTATGGCAATGTAGATGCAGCCTGACTATTTCTGTGATGAAATGTGTCTCGTGCTTCAGAGCAACGAGACACATTGAACATCATATCTAGAATAGCCATCAAATTTCAACTATGGAATATAGAAAGCAAGCAGGCAAATGAGAACCTCAAATTGTATATTTGTATGTGGTGGAAAGGGAGGACTTCTAATGTCTTATTCTTAAACCTGCATCAAAAGAAACATAGATACAAATGTAATACTGAGGTTGGGATCTGCTTTGAATCTGATACTTAATGAGCATGGCAGAGGTTTCAGGCATGGTGTATTGATAGCAAATTGTGGAGGTTCAACCCCAGCTCCCTCCCCCATTCACCCTTCTCCTTTTGAAGAATCTTCTTTCACAAATAGCACATGATGTCTACTAAAGTGATATTCTAAAGATTTCAATGGCTGTTGGTGTTCAATCAACAATGTCATCCCTTATGCACTTTCAAGTCGTTTCAGACTTAAGTTGACCCTAAGCGAGGGCCGGGTAAATGACCTTAGAGGGCCGTATCCGGCCCCCAGGCTTTAGTTTGAGGACCCCTGCCTTAAATGCTCAAATGAAATGTTTACTATAAATGTTGGCCTTGGGGGAAAGCAGCAGCCACAAGCAACACACTTCCTGTTGTTCTTCATGCAGAAACTGGAGTGAAAAATTTACCAGTTTTGTAGCTGATCAAGCCCACTGTGCAAAGGACCTCCGATGCAGGCAATTTGCTGCCGCCTCTTCCAATCCAGTAATTCTTCCATCAGCATGTTATTCACAAAGCCTTCAATTTCCTTTATCATTTGTTCCACTTTACAAAGAATCTCCTGAAAGAATTGAGCATTGCATTACAAACATTTAAGAATTAAGTTTCCTTTTAAAAAAATACAGATTGATATGTTGTGCCTTGTTCTTGTAGCATTAAGACTAATTTTACAAAGGATTTTGTAATCTACAGTAGAGTCTTGCTTACCCAACCTTCACTCATCCAACATTCCGTATTATCCAGTGCAGTCTGTCTCCCACCCAGATCCACAGCTGTTTCAATACATTGCGATGTTTTGGTGCTAAATTCGTAAATACAGTATTTACTACATAACGTTACCGTGTATTGAACTGCTTTTTCTATCGATTCATTTAAAAACATGTTTTGGTGCTTAATTTGTAAAATCATAACGTAGAGTTTTCCTTATTCCTTATTATCCAACATTTTTGCTTATCTAACATTCTGCCGGCCCATTTATGTTGGATAAGCGAGACTCTACTGCAGGGGTCCTCAAACTTTTTAAACTGTTGGAGGGCTGGATTATAATTTGAAGAAAAAAAATATGAATGCATTCCTACGTACACTGCACATGTCTTATTTGTAGTGCAAAAACACTCATGTTAATACAATAATTAACATGAAGAACAATTTTAACAAATATAAACTTATTATTTCAATGGGAAGTGTGGGCCTGCTTTTGCATGATGTGATAGGATTGTTGTTGTTGTGTGCTTTCAAGTTGACCCTGAGCAAGGGCTGGGTAAATGATCTTGGAGGGCCTTATCCGGCCCTTGGGCTTTAGTTTGAGGACCCCTGCTCTACTCTACGTATATTTGCAAGAGCTACAGATGCATCTCAATAAGTATTCCTGGTTAAAAGTGAACTTTTGATTTTCTGAGAGCAATAGCATTAGCTCTTTCAGTAGAGAAAAGCTTCCTGGAACATGGGATATTAAATAAGCATTATTGCTTAGCTGTTCTTATATCTAATTCACATTCAAGGGAAGTGATTCCCATAATTGTAGTAGTTATGTGCTTTCAAATCATTTTTGACTTACGGGTTTTCTGGGTTGAGAATGTGTCACTCACATGGTTCCCAGAGTGGTAGGCCAATGCTCAAACCACTCTTATCACAAATTTGATCCCAATTGTTTATTTTACTTTATTCTTCTGTCAACATCCCCTATGTCAAAATACACTGAGCTACCAAGATCTGTAATGGAGCCACTGCATACTCAGATTACTTCAATATTTAATGGAGTTAGCAATGGAACGTTGCACCATACTCCATTCTGCTTCTCAGCCCATCTGTCCTGATTCCAATGCCATGGACCTTTTGTGGCTATTGAGCATGCTTGGTCCTCACTTTGCTGTTTTGAAGTTTGGCCACTTTTATTTGTTTTTTGATCCACTTCTGCAAACTGTTGGGTTTTCGTAACTTTCTTTTGCGTGGCTGGTGATGCTTTCTTTACAAAAGCGCTCAATTCTGAACAGTGTATGTGGAGAGAATGATTTCCATTGCTTAGTATTGTCTCTTATTTAAATCTGTGGGGAAATTTAAAGTGCAATATCTAGCTTTTATGAGCAAAGGAAATAATTGAGTCTGATGAGCCTTTTGGTATAGTGGAGAGAAGGTGTCAGATCTCTACTGGTAGAAAACGGTTCCTGTTTACATATGGCCACAAAGCCCACAAGAAAGAAAGGCAATTCTGCACTTACCCCCTAGACTCCTCGCTGCATAGGCATGTGTATCATGACAATGTAAGGCTGTATTCTTGAACATGCTCGCTAATGCAAAAGCCTCAGTGAAGTGAGTCTTCCAAACACACATAGGTTTCAACTGCACAGACATTTGTTTGACATAGAAGGAGTGGTGGTCCCAATCAGGCCTGTAGACAGGATTTCGTTTCGGGGGGGGGGGGTGATTTTTTTTCAGGGGGGGGTTCGGGAGGGCTGAGGTGGGGGGGGGGGCTGAGTCTGAGTGAAAGAGGGTCTAGCCTAGCAAACCTTTTGTATCATTACCCCAATACCCCCATGCATATGGGATATATTGAGTATGGTGATCAGATCATGATATGAATAAACATAACAGTTTAAATAATGCACCAGTAAGCCCCCCCCCCCCCCCCTCCCCCCTCCCCCCCCGGCTACATGCCTGGTCCCAATGCACCCTTGGCCCAGTTGAGCCACCCAGGCACCAAAACTTCTCTAGGAACAATCTCAGACAGAACCAGCAGCTTACCCCAGAATATCTGGGTAAGTGTTGACATACTCTGTCGATTTTAAACTATTTATGAGGGATGTCATAAGGATGATGGATTAGATCTCTGGATACTGCTCCAAGCTATCTACAGAAAGGCCAAATTAAAATTAAAATAAAATGAAAGTGAAAAATGTGTATGTGGTGGAGGTATCCACTTACACAAACAGGATATAGTTCCAAGTGCTGAGAAGCCTCCAGAGGCACTCTCTCAACTGACATTGCAGGTTAGAGTGAGTACCGTGAACATGGATCCCAGACGTTGCAATGTCCTCCCCAAGCACTACGGCCTACCACTCAAGGAATGCTTTCATTCGGAGACAATTTCATCCTAGATTTGATGTGTTTCCTCCACCACAGGCAGGTATTCCAGGGTTCCTTGTGTTGAATTTGCATGACCCCACCCACTGCCTCTCCCTTAACCCTTTCCTACAGCACACAGCAAACAGAGAAATTGACCAACAACTGAACAGACTGGAGGGGTTTGGGGGGACTGGTTCAACAGTATGGAAGTTGTAGTACACCCTGCATCAAGGCACAGCACTATGACCCCTCTGATAATGGACCTGGACTACATTTGGCATACAGTACCCCCCCCCCACCCCCCATGACCAGGTTTTGGGGGAACTGACCTTGATTTATAGGACTGAAACTGTGGCCCCCACCAACAATGGACCAGGGCCAAGCTTGGCATTAAGAGGCCCCATGACCAAGTGAACATACTGCAGGGGTTTGGGGGAAAATGACCTTAATTTTGGGAGTTGTAGTTCACCTGCATCCTGAGAACACTCAGCCGAGCTGACAATGGATCTGGACCATACTTGGTGCACAGACCTAACATGGCCAACTGTTTATATAGGCCTGGTTTGGAGAGGGTTGACCCACGGTTCTGGGAACTGTAATTCACCCACACTGATGTATTTTCTGTTGGGAGCAAAGACTGGCTTTTTCCTAATGGTTTTACTAATTAACTAAACCTAACTCCCCAAAACAAGCAAAACCTTTTTAAAATCAGCTGGGCACCGCCGGGTACCCAAGCTTGTAACAAAAAGGAAAACGTTGTCATTATTGTGGTTGTGGTCCTGCTTGGGATGTTGACATCATTCTAGTTTGCCCGGTTACTTGGCATTTTCAGGCTCTTTGGAATTTCTTTCTTTTTATGGCACATCTATGCTGAGCATGTAATCCAATTTGAAGCTTCAACATGGATGCCACCAGGTAAATCAAGATCTTTTAAGTACAGGGTTAGTCAAAATGAATAGGCCAATAAGAAAATTAATTTTAGACAAATGTATGTTTACTGTAACCAAACCACAGCTACGTAGCGACAGATAAACTATCAAAGTTTTGTCTCACCTTCAGAGATGTTCGATATGGGCGCCCCGTGTGACACGGCAGATGTCCAAGCGATAGTCCAGTTCATTCCACATCCGTTGCAGCACATCCGACGTAATGGCATCGAATGCAGCAACGTCTGGGAAGGTGTTCGTTGAGGTCCTAACCCTAACCCTATCCCTATCCCTAACCCTAACCCTAACCCTTGAAATTCTCGCTGGACCGTAATTACTGACATTGTTTTAGCAAATGTCATCACACAAAACGCCTTCTCTTTGCTTGATTCCGCCATTTTGAAAACAGCGACCCCTAGCGACGCCTAGCGGCATTAACGTACATGTGTGTTGCTCAAAAAAAACTTTGATAGTTTATCTGTCGCTACGTAGCTGTGGTTTGGTTACAGTAAACATACATTTGTCTAAAATTAATTTTCTTATTGGCCTATTCATTTTGACTAACCCTGTATATCAAAGTTAGGAGACAGTCTTAATGCGCTTCTGCAAGCCCTAAATCTAAACCATATCATATGGTGAAAATGACTCTGTAGCATGGAATGTGCTTTGTCTGTAATGCAAAAGAGCAGGAGGGATGTTGCAAAATATATAAAAATAGCAACCCACCTTTCGCCTGTAGTCTAAGGTGTTGAATATTCCCTGCAACATCAACATCTCCTGCTTCATGGCAGCACTGTTTTTCTCATTCTGTTCTGAAAGGGAACATAAAAGAGTAGTTGCGCAGTGCAGAAGGAAGGAAGAAAATCCCAAAATATTCCAATAGGAAAGTTTGTGGGAGAATTTCCATAGAACTCACATTGTCTATGTATACTTATTTTATGCCATTTCTTGTCATTGTCAGCATGTTTTTTTTTAAAAAAAACAAAACAAATCCACAGTGCAAACAAGGCTTTCTACTCACACATCAGTACTTACAAATGTAAGCGCATTATAACTAAACCTAAATATGTTACAAAAACTACAAGTGAGGGTGTGGAAACGTGTGACCTATCAACAGCAGTTCCTATGATCTTGCATCATTGGCTATGATGCATAGAGTGGATGGTAGCGTTATTTTTAAAGATGGGCTTAAAGCCAACCTTAAAAACTGTGGCATAGACACCGAGAACGGGGAAGCCCTGGTCCTTGAGCGCTCTCACTGGAGGTCAGCTGTGACCAGCAGTGCTGTGGAATTTGAAGAGGCGTAAATTGAGGGTGAAAGGGAGAAATGTGCCAAGAAGAAGGCATGTTAAGCCAACCCTGACCAGGACTGCCTTCTGTCTGGACTCTGATGTCCTCACTGCGGAAGAACATGCGGACCAAGAATAGGGCTCCACATGGACCCACTGCCAAGACACCACATCTGAAAGACCATTGTTCTCGAGCTATGAGGGATCGCCTAACTAACTGAAAATAGGCCAACATGTATGGTACGTGAGTTCTTCTCATATTTTAAAGTTGTTCTGCCAGCCATTGGGGGTGTATACTCCCAAAATTCCTGAATATAGCCCATGCTAGCTGGGACTTCTTAAGATCTCAAGACTAAAATGTCTGGAGAACCAGCATTAGAGAAACACTGATGTAAAACCCCACAGGTTGTTAACACATCTTGGAGAAATGTGGCTGTAAGGTTGCCAAGTTCAATTTTTGGCACTCCAGAGATTATTTGACTCCAACTTCTCATCAGTATTTGCTAGCACAGCCAATGGTGAAGGATCATTGGAGATGCAACCCAACAATATCTGGAATGCTCTGTCCTTGGGCTTCCATTGGTTTTTAACAGGAGGGGAAAAACAACTTAGAGAGGCACTTTTGAATGGAAAAAAACACTGATGCAAAAAGAGCGAAACACCATCTCTTTGTGTATTATATTAAAACTGACAGCTGTCACAACAGGAAAGCAGCTTGGGGCCGGTCTATGAACGTATTTCTGTCATTGATTATCAATTTATTTAGACAAGTTGTTAGGATATAAAAAGGCAAAGATTCAAATTAGATGTAATACACAGATAAAGACCACACTCGCCAACCCTTTTCAAAACTAAAAAGTACCTTGGGAAAATTCACATCAAGAATTTCTGCAGAAACTGAATTAAAGCTTTGTTTTCATAATCCAAAAATAAAAATAGAATAGAAAAGACATTGTCTTGCTCACTCTGTTTGCTACTCTCTTGCTCACTCTTTGAATTCAAAAATCACACAGAAGAACCATGAATTGCTTTTTCCACCCCAGAGAAATGGAAAATGGAAAAACAAAATTTCCCCTCCCCTCCTACAGGCCAAAACATGTTTCTAAAACGGTGGTTCCCAACCTTTTTTTGAGCCGGTACCACTCTCCAAGGGTTACAAATCAGTTTTTGGTCAACTTTAGATTTGTTTTGGTTATTTGGGGTGCTGATTCAGAAAATTGCATTGGATAGATCACAACAGCTCTAGTTCCTGATACAGAACATATGCCATCCAGTAGTTGCCATCTTCTCACACACAGAAAATCATATTTAGTAATCTAGAGTTGATATGGTCTATCCAATGCAATTTTCTGAATCAGCAACCCAAATAACCCCAGGAACATGCCTAAAAAATGAAGACACCAAGGCATCCCCAGGCATCATATGAAACGACTCCACTCGAGGAGGGAGGAGGTGAAACAGCAGCAGTCAGGAGACTTGTTGTCACACCTTTATTTATTTCAAATATTTATATCCTGTCCTTCTCACCCCACCCGCCGGGGTATTCAGGGCGGCTTACAGCTGGCAACCATTCGATGCCAACAGCAACAAACAATAATAATGCAAAACAGATTAACATTAGATAAAACAACAAAGTTATCAATATCTATTAAAATATTACAATACAACCAATCCCAAATCAAAATCAGTGGGTAGTCAGTCTCTCTCCTCCCAACATCCCTGTTGCCTCGGCACAGTAAGAGAATTTTATGAGACCAGTCACTCTCGTTGCAATGGTATAGTAACAAGCCATGGACCATATTTTAGTTCTTGGAGACCACAGGTTGGGAACCACTGTTCTAAAACATATGTTAGCTCTGTAATCAAAATATTTAATCTTAAGATCCACCTAGGCATAACTAAGGGTGCATCTACACTCCAGAATTAATGCAGATTGACTTCACTTTAATTGCCATGGCTCAATGCTATGGCATCATGGGATTATAGTTTGACAAGTTGTTCTTCCTTCTCGGCCAAAAGTGCTGCTGCCTTACAAAACTAGAAATCTCAGGATCCCAAAGGATTGAACTATGGTAGTTAAAGTTGTGTCAAAACAGCATTAATTCTACAGTGTAGATGCACCAGGGCGGTTTTGCTTCACTGTTCGAGCCTAAAACTGCTGAGTGGATGCAAAAAAAAGTATAACAAACCTGCCCTAACACCCACAGAAGTTGCAGGGAGTATTTTGACTAAAGGAAAATGAAGAGGTAGAAGCAACTTTCATGTGGGAGATGTGTGGTCCTAGCTGCAACTTCAATCTGGGTTTTGAGATTTCAGGAAGCAAATGCAACAAAAGGAGGACAGCAGGCCAGCCAGCAGTGCTACCAATTGTAATAACACACAAAATGGAGGACAAATGACAAGGTCTGGCCCAAGGCAAGGCTGTGAGGGAATCGGAGCTCACACACACAAGGCCAGACTGTGGGAAGCTACCACTGTATTTGATATTTTGCTGCCTCTTAATATTAAAGGTTCCTACTGCTGCCACCAATTTATTATTTTAATAGGCCACTTCCTTCACTGGAAGGTTTAAAAAGCCACACTAAGACTTCAGTTGAAATGAAACAGGAATATGTTGTTTATTATGAACAGTCAATATGTGTAATAGTTTCAAACAACTTGTCAGGCTTTACCTCTTACAGAGGAAGGTACTTGTATCTTGAGTTTCTTAAAACAACGTTCCGCACACACAGAGAAATCCAAACAGGATCTTTTAAACCTTTTGAAATCTCCCTCCCTCCACAGCACTCTATTCACTCTAGAGGCCATTTAACTATTATCCTCAACGAGGTATGTTTAGACCATGAACAGTTTCCAAATGCTTCCTTTCTTCCCACTTCAAGACTTCTGACTATCTTCTACCCCATCAAGTCCCTCGGGAGATGCTAGCGGGGTACAAATAAAGTTAATAATAATAATAATAATACCCCACCAAACTCCTGTTGTTGTTGTTCATTCGTTCAGTTGTCTCCGACTCTTCGTGACCTCACGGACCAGCCCACGCCAGAGCTCCCTGTCGGTCGTCACCACCCCCAGCTCCTTCAAGGTCAGTCCAATCACTTCAAGGATGCCATCCATCAATCTTGCCCTAAAATGGCTGCCTCAGTTTCTTTTCTCCTTCTGGCTCCGCCCATCTCCAGTTGCTGAGCCAATCAGACTGCAATCCTGGCTCTGAGGCTGCCTGTTTGCTCCTCCCCTCAGCTCTCCTTAGCTTTTGCAAGCTGGGCCTGGTTTCTGCCTTTTATACCAATCCTTTAAGGTAGGCCAATCCATTACAGCAAACAATAGCTGAAGGGTGAGTCTTTGAACTTAACACTGCCTGTTTCTCTCTCCCCCACAAAAAATTACTTCTTTTCCACAGACTCTTTGGATTGTCGCCTGCTTCAGTTATACATGGCATAAGTTTGCCCAGGTTCTACATCCATGTAAGATTAAAGACAGTTCTTAATATTTTATGAGGAAGCTTACCTATACTTTGCATCGTTTTGTACCGAAAGTCAAACTCCTCTTGCAGATCTTCTAAATATTTCACGTCTTGTTCAGTCATCTGTTTTTCAATTTTTTTAAAAAAGGCAAATTGATCAACCAAAAGTCTAATATTTAGCAAGTAGCAACATTCCTCGGATTTTAAGAATACATTCCCCACTGCCTCACATCTACACTCATTTTACTTATTAATAAGATGCTAGCTGTTTTAAATTTTTATTCTGTTTAAATTCAACAGAATATGTCTGTTAGGGTTGTTAAGTTTTATTTTTTTTGGTTAAATTTCTTTCTGGCATTAAGTTTACAGTAATGGCTGTTCTATTATTTTTTATGTGTATTGCTTTGATGTAATTTGTTAATATGTCTTTTTGCTGGCATTGAATGTTTGTCGTATGTGTTGGAAACTACCCTGAGTCCCTTCGGGGAGACAGGGCAGTCTACAAATTTATTCTTATTCTTACTCTTATTATTATTGGCTCTGTTTTGGGTGGATAATACAGACAGAACAATTTTATATCCCATATTCAATGCACTTCGTAAAACATACAATTGGCACTCTGTATCCATTCGTTCTTCATTTATGGATTCAACCATCCACAATTTGAAAATATTTTTAAAATTCCAGATAGCAATTTTTTTTGCCATTTTATATAAGGACATATAATTTCACTATATCTATTTCTATCTATCTATCTATTAGGCTTGGGTAACCACGGAAAAATTTGGTTCTAAACTCGTTTTGTTTTTAGGGGGCCCTTGCGTTTCGTTTTTTAATAATTCCGAAATTTTCCTTTTAAAAATTTCAAAATATACAAAATTTCGTAAAATTACAAATTGATTTGTTAATGGCGGACGCGATTGCGCAATATGCTAAAAAAACCTCCAAATGGGACAGGGGGAACTTCTGAAGCTTCCCTCTCCCTCTGTTGTTGACTGTTGGTGTGATAAAACAAACAACAACTATAAAACTTGCACCATACATGCGAAAATAATTACGAAATAATTACGAAATAATTTGAAATAATTACGAAATAATTACGAAATAAATTGAAAAAATTGTTTCGAATCTAATTTACTCCTCACACTATTCCTGCATGGCTCAATATTGGATCGTAAGCTAATTTAAATACGAATTAATAACGAATTACGAAATTAACGAACGAAACCGCCCAAGCCTACTATCTATCTCTATCTATCAATGGACTTAAGCATCCAAGGATTTTGTTATCCACAGAGTTGCCTAGAACCAAACCAAAGAAAACTTAAGAACCCACTGTATAATCAAATTGCATCCACGACTATTCAGGAAAAAAATTAGCTTAGTTAGGTTGCATTATATCAACACTGAAAGTATGTTAGCTCCTATACACAGCCTTCTTTGCATTTAGTACACAAGTAGCAAACCATTAGAACTTGCCTGAGTGCTGTTCTTAATTGTAGATGCCTTATGCTCAACTTTTCTTTGTCTTTCTGAATCCAGGTTGTTTTGTAGTGATTTTTCTAGTGGGCCCTAAAGAATAAATAAAGGTGAGTTCAATAATATTTATTTATTTGTTTATTTACAACATTTATATGCTGCCCTTCTCACCCCAAAGGGGACTCAGAGCAGCTTACAAGATATACATAAAATATATTATATTATTAGCATACCATAATATCAGTATAATATATTACTATATTGTACTATACCATTATCCTGTGATATTATTATTAATATTACATGTAATATAAAATATAAATTATAATATTGTAGTTATTAGTATTCTTTTGTATTACACTATAATATTAATATATGTATATTTTATATTATATGCATATATTTTATACTATATCAATACTATATTATAATACTGTTCCACTCTGCACAAAATGCACTTTATTAAATAACAAAAAAACAGGATTAGAACTTTACTTTTCACTCTTACACCAACCCCCCCCCCCCTTATTTCTCTTTTTATTGTTTCATCCAATCTTGACATCATTTATAAGAGAAAACCATTAGGAAAAAATCGACCGTTCCCATATTTCTGCATGAAGAACTCAAGAGTATAGAAATCATGCATTTATAACTTTCTCACAGTGCCATGCATGTTTTGGGAAATAATATTTGCTTGTCCGGTGTACAGTTTCCATTGTGGGAGACTAATGCAATCAAAAGAAGGACTCCAAGAGCAGTAACAGAAATATCTGAAGGTAGTGCTTAATCTTCTCACCAACCCTCCAAGTTATTGCAACAAAATATTTCAAATCTTTCTATAGTCACTGCTGCAGTGACATAAGCAATAGGAGAAGTAAGGGTGACAGTCCCACTAGGCTGCATCAGTTTCACCCCAACTGAACTTGGTGGACTCCATCCTTGCTTGTGTCATGAGTAGGAGACAGTGTATGAACACCTTTGTGGCCTCTGAGAGACAGTCTGGAACATTTTTGTTCCAGGCTCCCTCCCTGGATTTTGGGTTATAGGTAGATAGCACAAGGAGTTACACTAGCAAAATGCCACAATTTGATTCTGGCAAGTGCTCCTACTCTGCCCTAGGTTATGGTAAACGAGTGGTTCTTAACTTGTGAGCCGTGGACCACCAGTGGGCCACGAGGACGAAAATCTTGTCTGTGAGCCCCCTTCCACTTTATTTTATTATATTTTATTGTATTGTATTGTATTATTTTATTTTATTACTTTATTTTATTTTTATTTTTATTTTGGCTCCTTTCACGCCGCTTGCCACTCCTTCCCTGTCACTGATCAGCCCTGACCCCTTGAATAGACCACATCAGCTCTAGATGTTCTTATGTGGATGAGCAGATGGCGATTACTGGATGGCATATGTTCTGTATCAGAAACTAGAGCTGATGTGGTTGATCTAATGCAATATTCTGAATCAGCACCCCAAATAACCAAACCAAATCTAAAGTTGACAAAAAATGGATTCGTAACCTTTTTGGTACAAATGTCCCTGGTCATCAAAAGGTTGGGAAACACTGTGGTAAACTCTAGGAATATTTTTAAAACAGACATTACTATCAAATATAAAACAAAATTACCTGTACAGGCATACTGGCTGAAGCCAATATTCTTCTTTCTTCTCTTAAACAATTTGAAACAACTACTGCTACGTGCACAGGATTATTGTGATATTTTCCCTGGGGGAAAAACACATACACACAAGGGTATGTTAGCATAAAAAGCCAAGCTGTTTACGGGAAAATCTATATCTAGTGATGGTAGGTATTATTACAGATAAATAATATTGTACTCCCTAGGAAGTAACCCTTAAGAATGTTTTAATAGTTTATTTTACTTGTATACTTAGAAAAGCAATTAATAAAATTTTATATATATATATATATATATATATATATATATATATATATATATATATATATATATATATATGTTACTATTAAAACATTCATATATATATATATAAATATATATATGAAAGAATGTTTTAATAGTAACAGTGATACTATGAACACAAGGAGGCCTTGTTAGTTCTAGAGATCACTGCAAAGATATGGGTGGTTATAACAAATCAGTGAATATTTTATATTATTATATGACTGATAAAGACTATGGGGTTGAAAAATATATAAAATAAATATATAGAACTGACCAATGTAAAAATACAGATGAAGTTGTTCATTAAATATATTCTTGAATATAGCAGTGAGTAACTTAAGTATTGTTGCACCATTCAAGCCCAAAAAAGTCTCTTGTCACCTTTTGGTTGGGTTTATGGTAAAATTATGAAAAATTCTCTGAGAATCAGGATATTATTACTAGAACTACTCATCTGTATTGAGTGATTATTTTAATCTAGGTCAGATAGAGGAAGTGCATTAAAAAAACCCTTCCACAACGCAGTTGTAGTATTGCTTTCAAGCCACAGGTGTAAATTGCTTCCCCCACCTTATCCACCCACTTCCTGAAGACTGCTAATATACACATCTGCTAGCGTAATAGTCTCAGATAATAAGAAATGCATCACAACAAGAGATAGCAGGTGTAGCTATTCCTTAAACCATACAACAAATTCATAGTTAGTGAAACGATTTATTCTTTAAACTGAAGGAGTTAATACTCTTACCTGAAGCATCTTCCTGATTCTCTTTAGGTTGTGCACCAAGAGGAGATTCTTCTCTTGGGAAACACGGTCTAAATGTTCGTCCAGTTTTATTAGCAAGTTCTGTAGGAGAATGGTGGCCATGGGCTCATTGTTATATGCAGATTCCCTATTCAACACAAAGTGTATAAGAGCAAGTCACATACATGGAATAAACATGGAACTGGGAGGACAGATTACAGTTTTCAAAAATAATATATTCAAGATGTATACTACCACATATACGAGTGGCCTGGAAAACAACTGTTTGTTTGTTTTGGGGTTTGCTTGTTTTTTGGCAAGTTTGTCTTTCTATTAAGACGTCAGTCCTAAACTGAACGGGTTGATTTCATTTGGGTAAATCTGGAACAAATATATCACTGTTCTGAAGGGGCAAAAAACCCAAAAACCCTTCTTAATTATATTCCTAAAGGGTTTATTTAAAAAGAAATCTGAAATTTAAGAAATGCGTCTTGTTTACATTCCAAAATATTTTAATTTTAAAAAAGAAAACATGACCCATCACTTCTGAAAATGATATGCAGTTAAATTTGACCACAAGAAGAGAGAGAAACACTGGGTCCACATGTCCAACAAACTATCTGCTTGCCTCATGTGAAGTCTACATGACTACTGGAATAAATACAGTGGCACCTTGATTTAAGAACTGTGTTCTTAACTCAAAACATTTCAAAGTAAATTTTCCCATGGAAATGCTATTAATCTATTCTGGGGGCCCTGAAAACCTCCCCAATTATTTTGTTATGTGTTTTTAAATAAGAAAATGTACTTTATAAATAACAATGTATAAATGCACATTCACGTAGAACAATAAAAAGAATGATCAATTTTCAAATGATAGAAGCACAAAGTTGTGACAAGGAAGCACGTATGAGGCAACAAAATGTGTGTTGGAACATTTGTATGTAGACGTTATATTGTAAACAGAGGAGCCCCTGGTGGTGCAGTGGGTCAAACCCCTGTGCCGGCAGGACTGAAGACCGACAGGTCACAGGTTCGAACCCGAGGAGAGGCGGATGAGCTGCCTCTATCAGCTCCAGCTCCTCATGCAGGACATGAGAGAAGCCTCCCACAACGATGATAAAAACATCAAATCATCCAGGCGTCCCCTGGGCAACGTCCTTGCAGACGGCCAATTCTCTCACACCAGGAGTCACTCCTGACACGACAAAAAACAAAAAAAACAAAACAAAAACCTGTAAACAGAGATACTTTCAAATGTAGTGTGTGTAGTGTTTCAGGTTTTGATTCTTGCATAAAATCACACCCTGAGTTCATTGTCCTCCCCTTGTTAACTTTGAACTGTCTGAACATCAGATACACCATGGCCTCTGTAACCATGCAGGATACATTCCTGAACTTACTGTAGAAATCGAAAACTGTGGATAATAGCAAAACTTATTGAGGTGAACAACTTCTGTTGAAAGTTATCCAAATCCAGTTTTCCAGCTGTTTTCTAGGCTTGGTTCAAGGTGTTGATTTTAAACTTTAAAGCTCCAACAGGTTGAAGTTTATCTGTTGGTGGGGAGGAGGAAGAAAGGTCTTTGGTGTGAACCTACCTACTTACTAAAATCTATTCCTTCAAGTACCTTTATCTCAGAAGCTACCAGTTCAAAATTGTGGCTGGCCAAATGACGTCCCCTGGAAACACAGGAGGAAGAGCAACAAAGCACTGAAAATGCAACATTTTCAGTTGTGGGAATGTCCCAGTTTTTTTATAAAAGCAATGAGGAACAGACATGTATAACCCAGGAACATCATCCTGTTGTTTCCAGGCATGAGTACACGACCAAACCTGTCAGAACACATGGCCATGCAGCCTCTGAATGATAATAATGATGACGTTCTGGTCCTGGCTTGAAACTATCAGTTCCTGTTTAATAGGGTAGTCCTGGCTTTGAAAGGAGTGATCCTACTACTTCATTAAACATGTGGAGAACAAAGTTTCTCTTGACAGGACAAAAGTTTGCCCTCTAGTCAACTTTTTCCATCTTTTCAGGATAAAAACAACGAGGAACAGGTATGTACTGTCGCAGCTATAGTGTCGCTGCTTTAAAGTTGGGGTTGATTCCAAGCATCCAAACCCACTTTGCGGAAGCTGCACCCCGTTGCCCAAGGAGAACAATCAGCACTGTGGACAAACTCTCTTCCAATAAAGAAATGTTTATATACAATAGTCACAGAAATAGTTTCAATCCTCAATCCTCCAGCAAACCTTTCTTGAGCTTCTTCAGCAATCTCTTCCTCTTGCTCTACTCAATACTCCAGCATTCTCTGCTCTCTTCACAGTCTCATTACTCTCCTCAACAATCTCTACATTCTCTTCTTTCTACAACACACAGTGCTTAGTCCCATTTGTAGCATCTAATCTATCACAGGTAGCTTAACAGTTGCTCTTCATGCAATGCTTGGACATGGTCCTTACAAATACTTACTCAGTTTTTCACTTAAGAAATGACTCAATTGATATAAAACTCTGACATGTACAACTCAAGAATAAAACTCGACGAGCATATTTGCATCGCACATTTAAAGTTGAAAAAAATGCCAAGACTTCTGGCGGATGTGCAATGGTGGCGTCAAATTTTCAATAAAAGTCAGAATCTTCTAAACTTGACAAACTTCATACATTTGGCCTTTTCTGATCAGCTGGCTTAGGAAAATGCTCAATCTATATATATAAAAATGCTCTGTGCATAATGAGTACCTTAAAAACAAAAGAACCAATGAACGAAATCACACCAAATTTGGCAACAAAACATCTCACAACACAAGGAGTGACCATCACTCAAAAAATTATGATTTTGTCATATAGGAGTTGTAGTTTCTGGGATTTATAGTTCACCTACAATCAAAGAGCATTCTGAACTCCATCAACCATGGAATTGAACCAAACTTGGCACACAGAACTCCCATGACCAACAGAAAATACTGGAAGGGTTTGGTGGGCATTGATCTTGAGTTTGGAGTTGTAGTTCACCTACATCCAGAGAGCACTGTGGACTCAAACAATGATGGATCTGGACCAAACTTGGCACAAGCACCCAATACGCCCAAATATGAACACAGATGGAGTTTGTGGAAAAAAGACCTTGACATTTGGGAGCTGTAGTTACTGGGATTCACAGTTCACCTACAATCAAAGAGCATTCTGAACCCCACAAATGACAGAAACGGGGCAAACTTCCCACACAGAACACCCACGACTAACGGAAAATACTTAAGGACATCCAATCCAACTCCCTTCATCAGGGCAAGAAAACATAATCAAAGTCCTCCTGACAAAGAGCCATCCAGCCATAGATAGATAGATAGTATATTTCTCTGTGTGTGAATCATATCTATCATAGATTTGAAAAGGACCCCTAAAGAAGGACAATGATCTGTTGCATGTTCCAGGGTGGGCAAACCAGACAATTTCCACATCAACACTGACAAAGAAACAGCAAGAAATACTTTTTACCCACAAGCTTAAAGAAATTACATATTTTAGAAACCAACACTTTCTCATTACTTTATTTTCGAGATCAACAGACTGGGCCACAGCAATGCGTGGCAGGGTACAGCTAGTTTTTCTATAAAAATAGACCTTTTCCAAACTTGAGAAACTTCATACATTTGACGTTTTCTGACCCGCGCTTTGAAATCCCATAACAAAGCAAGTCTGGGCATCGCAGGCAACAGGGTTTTTTTTTTTAACCCCTCATGAAAAATCCGTGAGTTGGTGCTATCTTGAAGCACCCTTAGACTTAAGGTGACCCTATGTTAAAGTTTTCTTAATAAAATAGTTTCAGAGTGGGGTTGCCTTTGTCTTCCTCTGAAGCAGTATCACATACTGTATTTACTAGAATCTAATGTTCACCTTTTTTGCTAAATTACCTTGCCAAAATTAAGGGTGTGCATTAGACTCACAAAAATACAGTAATCTTGGTGCCGAGCCAACGCAAAAGGGGAAGCTGCTGAAGGATGTCACCTGTCATTTAATTGACATAGCTCAAAGCTGTGTAATCCTGGGGTTTTTCGTTTGGTGACGTATCTGCACTCTTCAGCAGAGAAGGCTCAAGGCCTTGTAAAACTCCAGCCCCTATGACTCCATAGCACTGAACCAAGGCAATTAAAGTGCAGTCATTCGACAGCATAGGTGCATCCCAAGGTTTTCTTTTCCATTGCTGAAAGCTTTGGGGTTCCTTCCAATACACTTGTTTTTAAAGGAGGAATTCTAAGCAAGCAACAACTGTAATGGGCATATTACAAAGAGTGCACCTTTTGATGCTGTGAATTAGATTGTCAGCAAATATTTTTTTTCATTTCAGGGTTTTGAAAATTGAGGCGCATGTTAGATTCAATGGTGCATTAGACTCGAGTAAATATTTCAAATATTTTGTAGCACATTAATGTTTTCCTTCTATACAACAATAAATCCGAGCTGTTGTTGTTACTGCAATCAGACCTTGATGGTGTCACAAAAACAAATTGATAAAATAAAATGATAAAACATACATTATAAGCAATATTTATTTGAATAACAGAAGATAAATACTATTTCTAAGAAGCTATAAGTGTACATAGGAACTAACACAGTGTCCAATATCTGCTTGTACACCAGCTTCCTAAAAGTTTAACACATGGAAAAGAAGAAGGAATTACCAGTCTTGGTTTTCAATCCATTGTGCTAATAGGTGTCGAACTTCCATGGGAAATTTGTCATCGTAAATCTGATCGATCTGCTCCAAAAATTTTGCTTCCAGCTGCTGGATTTGATTCCACTGAGACATACTAAAAAGACAAAGACGTGTTTCAACAATGCAATACATGTTACCACACAGGGATTCTGAAGTTTACTCTATTTCAGCATTCAAAATACACTTGCTGGTTCAGAGTGAAGAATATTATTTTTTGTAAACATTTACACATTTGTTGCATTGAGACTGAAAATTTCCAGATTTTACTTTTAATTAGGAAACCCTTTAGCTGAAGGTTTGGAACCAGAAATATTTTGATTTTGTGAAATGACAGGAATCCTAATTTCAATGCAAATCTATGCTTCTCACCATTTCACAGTTTTCTAAGATCTACAGAGACACCTGCTGGAACATCTCAGCAAGCGAGAGTCCAAAAGTGGCAGGCTCAAACCCAGAACCTCAATCAATGGCTAATACCAAATGAGAGACTCCCTCCTGGGCACACAGAAAACAGGGCGACTTGGAAGGCGCTGAACAGACTGCGCTCCGGTACCACAAGATGCAGAGCCAACCTTAAGAAATGGGGCTACAAAGTGGAATCCACGACATGCGAGTGTGGAGAAGAGTAAACTACAGACCACCTGCTGCAATGCAACCTGAGCCCTGCCACATGCACAATGGAGGACCTTCTTGCGGCAATACCAGAAGCACTCCAAGTGGCCAGATACTGGTCAAAGGACATTTAATCAACTACCAAGTTTGCAAAATTTGTGTTTTGTTTGTTTGTTTGTTAAAAATGCAATACAACTGTTTGGTTTGCTCCTGACATGATAACTAAAAATAAGTACCATTTCACAGAGCCTCACATCTTTCCACAGCTTCAGGCTTTTTCCAGCCTCATATTTGGTCCGTTTGCTACTTACGTTGTGTATGAGATACAAAGATGGAAAGACACTGAGGATCGAAAAGAACGAGCATATAAGGGAGGAAAAAAGCCCTCCGTCTACTTATTTCCGCCATGCTAGCAAATGAGATGCAACAAGGATGCTCAACTTGTACATATTTTCACAGTTCCATAGCAATGAGCCATGGCAGTTAAAGTGGTGTCAAACTGCCTTGATCCTACATTGTAGGTGCAACCTATCTTAGGATCCCATGCATCCCCTGAGGTCTCTCTTTCTGTTAAAAAACTCTCTCGTACACAACACACAACGGAATGCCACATTGTCTCCACTGAGGCCTTCTTAGCCCAGAAATATTGATTTGATAAAATATTGTTGAGTCATATTGGGATAATCGTGGAGTTATACTTTAAATGGCATGGTAGTTTCTAATTTATTGATGTTACCAATGCTAGTTCCATAAGCTCATTTTTCTTCTTTATTAAATAATGCACATCCTTCTTGGGCAGTGTTTCTCAACCTTCCTAATGCCGCGACCTCTTAATGCAGTTCCTCATGTTGTGATGACCCACAACCAGAGGCGGCCCTAGGTAATTCAACAGTAAGCAAACAGTATTTTGCAATCACTGATATATATATTCTGTTTGTCGTGGGAGTTCTGTGTGCCATATTTGGTTCAATTCCATCATTGGTGGAGTTCAGAATGCTCTTTGATTGTAGGTGAACTATACATCCCAGTAACTACAAATCGCATATGTCAAGGTCTATTTCCCCCCAAAAGCGCCTCAAAAGCGTCCCTGGGCAAAATCAACTATACTGCAAATGCTTACTTTGCGTAATGGGTTGAGCCACCCCTGCCCACAACCATAAAATTATTTTTGTTGCTACTTCATAATTGTAATTTTGCTACTGTTATGAATCGTAATATCTGTTATGCAGGGTGTATTCATTCACTGGACCAAATTTAACACAAATACCCGATACGTCCAAATTTAAATAATGGTGGGGTTGGGGGGGATTGATTTTGTCATTTGGGAGTTGTAGTTGCTGGGATTTGTAGTTCACCTAGAATCAAAGAGCATTTTGAATCCCACCAGCAATGGAATTGGGCCAAACTTTACTGGTGGGGTTGGGGGAGGGGGATTGATTTTGTCATTTGGGAGTTGTAGTTGCTGGGATTGATAATTAACCTACAATCAAAGAGTTGAACCAAACTTGGCACACAGAATTCCCATGACCAACAGAAAATACTGGAAGGGTTTGGTGGGCATTGACCTTGATTTCTGGAGTTGTACTTCACCTACATCCAGAGAGCACTGTGGACTCAAACAATGATGGATCTGGACCAAACTTGTCACAAATACTCAATATGCCCAAATGTGAACACTGGTGGAATTTGGGTAAAATATATTTGACATTTGGGAGTTGCAGTTGTTGGGATTTATAGTTCACCTGCAATCAAAGAGCATTCAGAACCCCACCAATGATAGAATTGGGCCGAACTTCCCACAGAGGACCCCCATGACCAACAGAAAATACTAATGTGGACCAAAGAATGGATGACACTAAAAAATGAAAAAACTTCTGACATTAGCGGGATTTGATCTAAGAAGAGGGTGGCATGTCTACCTATGGTATGGCAAAACAAAAAATAGGAAAAAAATGGCAATCATTATATCAGAGTGGCTCAAATAATAATTTGGCAAAAGTATAAGAAGAGACTGTACCAGAAAATCCCACTTTAGAAATCTCCATTAGAATCTTCTCAAAGAAGATGATTAGGGTGGATAAAGTGGCCAACATATAAAGACATCTGTGGGAGGCTTCTCTCATGTGCCTGCGTGGGGAGCTGGAGCTGACAGACAGGAGCTCACCCCGCTCCCCAAATTTGGTGTCAATTCGCCCAGTGTGATTCATGTGTGAATCATAGAATCAAAGAGTTGGAAGAGACCTCCTGGGCCATCATCCAGTCCAACCCCATTCTGCCAAGAAGCAGGAATATTGCATTCAAAGCACCCCTGACAGATGGCCATCCAGCCTCTGAATCCTAGAATCCTAGAGTTGGAAGAGACCTCCTGGGCCATCATCCAGTCCAACCCCATTCTGCCAAGAAGCAGGAATATTGCATTAAAACAAATCACTGCAATGCTGGGTTTAACCATAGAATAGCTAACCAAGATGGTAAGATTCTTTTGCAGAGAATGCGAAAGACCTTTAAAAAGCACCAGCTCCCAGGATGTCCAGTTTGCACAGTTTAACGCACATCCCCCCCCCCCCCCCATGCTTTTGATGATAGAGCCAATTCGGTAAGGAGACTGAACACCCAGCAACAGCAATGGTGTTGCAATAGTTGGAGACGGGACCCCTTTGTCTCCTGGGAAGCAATATTGGGAGACCCAGCCTCTAGCCAAGAAGATGATGCTAGTGAGAGCCCAAAACCCCCATGTGCGCACCTTGGAGAAGATCCTCTTCCGAGCGCGGCTTCTTCTTCTTCCCAGGAGCCTTGAGTTGAGAACTGAGGCGAGTCCAAGCCAAAGGCAGCCGAAGGAGAAGAACAGGAGGCAGCTGCAGACCCCGATTGGCCTCTTGTCTGCCCCACGGAGGGCCAAGCCTGCTGCTGCTTCTCCTCCTCCTCCGCCGAGGGAGGCGGAAACCGAGCTTGGGCTTCCACTGGCGAAGGCTTTCTTTCCTGTGCGTCAGGGGCCGAGGAGGGGACGTCCCTGCCTGCCGGGCTCCCAGGCTCAGCTCCGGGGCTGCGGCTTTCAAGCCACTGCTCTTGCGCCTCTCTCTTGCCTCCTGGCCTCCTCATCCACGCCTGGCCTTCTCGCTTGTTGCCTTGCCCAAGGCTTCCAGGACTGAGCCAGGATGTCATCAAGCTTCCAAGAGGCCTCAAGCCACCACCCAAGGGCCACTCACTTACTTACTTAGGCGATCCCTCAATGTCCGAGTAGGATAGTCTTCCAGGATCAGTATTCTGGTGGCTGCAGAGCCCTATTCTTGACCTACATCTTCTCCCCCAGTGAGGGTATTGGTTTCCAGGTGGAAGGCGGTCTTAGTCGGGGTTGGCTTGACGCACCTTCCTCTTGGCACGTTTCTCTCTTTCACCTTCCATTCGTGCCTCTTCAAGTTCTGCAGCACTGCTGGTCACAGCTGACCTCCAGCTGGAGCGCTCAAGGGCCAGGGCTTCCCAGTTCTCAGTGTCTATGCCAGAGTTTTAGAGGTTGGCTTTGAGTGAATCACTCAGTTCTTGTGGGGGTTTTTGGGCTATATGGCCATGTTCTAGAGGCATTTCTCCTGACGTTTCGCCTGCATCTATGGCAAGCATCCTCAGAGGTAGTGAGGTCTGTTGGAATAGGACAATGGGTTTATATATCTGTGGAATGGCTGGGGTGGGGCAAAGAGATCTTCTCTGCTGGAGCTAGGTGTGAATGTTTCAACTGACCACCTTCATTAGCATTTGAAGGCCTGGCTGAGCCTGGGAAAATGTTTTGTTGAGAGGTGTTAAGATGTGCCTGGTTGTTTCCTCTCTGCTGTTTTGCTGTTGTAATTTTAGAGTTTTTTAATACTGGTAGCCAGATTTTGTTCATTTTCATGGTCTCTTCCTTTCTGTTGAAATTGTCCACATGCTTGTGGATTTCAATGGCTTCTCTGTGTAGTCTGACATGGTGGTTGTTGGTGTGGTCCAGCATTTCTGTGTTCTCAAATAATATGCTGTGTCCTGGCTGGTTCATCAGGTGCTCTGCTATGGCTGACTTCTCTGGTTGGAGTAGTCTGCAGTGCCTTTCATGTTCCTTGATTCGTGTTTGGGCAATGCTGCGTTTGGTGGTCCCTATGTAGACTTGTCCACAGCTGCATGGTATACGGTAGACTCCTGCAGAAGTGAGAGGATCCCTCTTGTCCTTTGCTGAACGTAGCATTTGTTGGATTTTCTTGGTGGGTCTGTAGATTGTTTGTATGTTGTGTTTCCTCATCAGCTTCCCTATGCGGTCAGTGGTTCCCTTGATGTATGGCTAGAACACTTTTCCTCTGGGTGGATCTTTGTCTTTATCTTTGCCCCACCCCTGTCATTCCACAGATATATAAACCCATTTTCCTACTTCCAACAGACCTCACTACCTCTGAGGATGCTTGCCATAGATGCAGGCGAAACGTCAGGAGAAAATGCCTCTAGAACATGGCCATATAGCCCGA